GGCAGGAGGTGGGGGCAGAGGCGACTCACACTTCATCCCCCAAAGGTCCCCGTCCAGAAATGAGAAAAACAGGTCACAGGATAAATAAGACCTGCAGGGGCTCCCCAGCAGCCCAGCCACAGCTTCCGTGTCTGCCTCCCACTGTGCGACCCCTCCCTGGGAAGACAGGCTGTCATCTTGGCAGCCACCAGGCTGCTGTGGGCAGACCTGTGGGAAGGGCTAGGTGTGGATGCCCCTTCCGGGACAGAGGCTGTGCTGGGCGCAGGGAGCCCCTGGTGGGCAGGGCCTTGGGCCCGCCGCAGGGCCCCGGGTGAACTAGCCCGGTGCTGTGAGCAGCCGTTGGAGGGGACCCTTCCCCACACGGCACGGTCTCCTGCCCTCGAGGTTCTGGGAACTCCGGCCTTTCCTCCCCTGATTGAACCAGGGGACCTCCACCTCTCAGAATCTCAGCCTCTTCAGGACCCCCGCCCACCCCAAACGCGCGGCGCGCTCCCACCCTGCTCCTGAGGCCTCTGCTTCTGTGCCTACACGACCCGCCCCACATCCCCACCCGAAGCCCCTCACCCCTTCCTCCTCTGGGCCCAGGCATTGGCACGGTCCCCGTGGGCCGAGTGGAGACTGGCATCCTTCGGCCGGGCATGGTGGTGACCTTCGCTCCGGTGAACATCACCACGGAGGTGAAGTCGGTAGAAATGCACCACGAGGCGCTGAGCGAGGCCCTGCCTGGGGACAACGTGGGCTTCAACGTGAAGAATGTGTCTGTCAAGGACATCCGCCGGGGCAATGTGTGTGGGGACAGCAAGTCCGACCCGCCGCAGGAGGCCGCCCAGTTCACCTCCCAGGTGGGCATCCGGGGTGGTGATGGTGGGAGGGCATTCGTTCCCAGAGCAGGACAGGGCCCGCTGGTGAGGCGGCTGCAGCCCTTTACCTGGCGCTGGGACGACAATCACCATGTCTCCATGGGACCACCCGGACTCGAGGCGTCCGGTGGGCAGGCAGTCCCACCTCCCCCCCCCCCCACTGCAGCCTCTGCGCAGCCCTAGGCTGCCAGAGTTTGGCTTTGAGATCCATGTTTGGTTGTTTATTTTGCAGTGCTGTGGTTCGAAGTCAGGGCCTTCCACTTGCTAGCTTGCTTGCTTTTCTTGGCTGGTGCTTTAGCATTTGAACCACATCTCCAGCCCTACTTTTTGCTGGTTAGTTTGGGAATGGAGTCTGACAGACTTTTCTGCCTGGGTTGGCCTCAAACCATACCTGTACATCTCAGCCTCCTAAGTAGATGGGATTACAGGAGTGTCCCGCCTCTGCCCAGCTCGGTCTGCAACACTTGATGATTCTCTACCTTTTAAGTTGTACCCTCTTTGATCATCTCTTCGTGGAAGGAAAATTTCTAAAACGACTTCAGTAGGTTGTAACAAATGTGAGGTTCACTTACCTTCTCTCTGGTCCATGGACAGGGGTTTCAAATAGTGTAGCTTCTCACGAGTTCAACAAGTTCATTGGAGTTTGGTCTGGAGGTGGGTCCCCATGGTGTGAGCCTCCTCCCCAGTCAACACTCAGGCTGGGGGTGGGGTGGGGTCCAGGCGTCACCCCCATGCCCGAGCCTCCACCTAGTGTTGATCCTCCCCTCTCGGGCAGCCACGCACAGAGCATGCCTCACGGTCTCATGCAACCCTGTCCTCAGGTCATCATACTGAACCACCCTGGGCAGATCAGCGCTGGCTACTCACCAGTCATCGACTGCCACACAGCCCACATTGCCTGCAAGTTTGCAGAGCTGAAGGAGAAGATCGACCGGCGTTCTGGCAAGAAGCTGGAGGACAACCCCAAGTCCCTGAAGTCTGGTGATGCAGCCATCGTGGAGATGGTTCCCGGGAAGCCCATGTGTGTGGAGAGCTTCTCACAGTACCCACCCCTCGGTGAGCCGGGGGGCTGAGGGTGGTACCCACCCCTAGATGAGCTGGGGGTGCTGAGGGTGGTACCCACCCCTAGGTGAGCTGGGGGGGGCTGAGGGTGGTACCCACCCCTAGATGAGCTGGGGGGGCTGAGGGTGGTACCCACCCCTAGGTGAGCTGGGGGGCTGAGGGCTTCGCAGCCTGGAGCCGGCCACCCATCCCAGCTGAGAGTGGAGACCCCTGGGGAGGGGGTGCGCAGTGGGTGGGGGCCCTTGGCTTTCAAGAGACCCTTGGCTTTGGTGACTGAGTGCAGGTGGCTGGGCAGACCGGCGATGGCATCCCTTACATGACTTGCGCAAGGCCCAGAGTTGCTGAGTGGCCTCCCAGCAGGATGGCCTGGCCAGCAGGCCACAGGCCGGGCCGGACCCCTGCGTGCGGATCATGCGGGCCGGGATGCCGTCTGGGCCAGTGCGCATGCGCGCTGCATCTCAGCCGCCGCTCACGCATCCCTCCCCACAGGCCGCTTCGCCGTCCGCGACATGCGGCAGACCGTGGCCGTGGGCGTCATCAAGAACGTGGAGAAGAAGAGCGGCGGGGCGGGCAAGGTCACCAAATCGGCGCAGAAGGCGCAGAAGGCCGGCAAGTGAAGCGCGGGCGCCCGCGGCGCGGCCC